TTCCTGATACAAGTGTGAATTATGTGGGACAGCCTCACATCCACACTGACGGATCCCTAGTAAATCGCTCTCTGGTGTAAAATGTATGCATGTTAAACTTCCAAGGGCTGGGTCTAATTACACATCACGCGTATAAGAGATTGCTGCTTGTATATAGGCAAGCTATGTTCCACAGATGAATGCTTGATAAATAAATTCTTACTAGACCGCACTATTTTCATCTCGCATGCCTCGCATTCCACCTCTGTTTTACAATCACTAATGTGCTTCTCACAGCTTTCTTGTTTTCCTCTAATGTGACCAAAAAAYGACTTGTGGTCTGAGGGGCAAAATGGTTTCAGCTCTGGTTGATGAATTGCCCTTCTATTTTAAGCTCAGTGTCGCCTCTATGGCTAATAGGAATATAAAAAAACTTTACTCACATTTGGATTAGTTATCTTWTTAGGACGTGCTTTTTTTTTACAATGACAAGAAGCATCTTCAGTTTTACTGACTTTACTGATAAAAAAAACATGATGTAAACCAGAATTTGATAACGCAAAAAGTTACGAGTCAGAGTTTTGCAAGAAGAGATGGAAACGATTTCCATCACAGGAGGATAACACTGCAGTTATGTAAACGCTTACTCAAACTGTCCTTCGTTATCTCCCTCACTCTAGTTCTCTTTCTGTCTCCCCTCCTAACGACACACACAGGCACATAAGCACGCACAGACGGGTTGTGACTCATTTCATCAAAGAATGACTGGACTTCAGGGGATAGCGTGCTGCTTCATTAGACAATGTGACTGGTCATGATACAAGCAGTGACCATATCTTGTAAAATTCCACACAGTGACTCATAATTTGCTTAGTGAGACCTTTTAACTATGCATGAAACTAATGCTGGTTTTAGGGCAGCGCAGAAAGCGTTCAACTGTGCTCAAAGCCACTGTTAATCAGATTCAATGGTTTACCATTTGACTAAAGGTTATCATAAAATTCTGATTATGTAAATACATATTCTGTGGCCTTTTTTTTTTTTTTTTTTTTTTTTTTTTTTTTTTTTTTTTTTGCTTTTGCATGTTAGACAAACTCCAAATTTGGAGACACATTTTATCTGGAGTTTGACACAAAAACACTGACATAAGAGTCTGCCAGCTGCACAAACACATTCTTACCTATTATTTTGATTGAGCCAGCCAGTCAATCAATATAGCTCTGATGCGGTAGGTCTGATACAGATACAGTCAGTGGTTGTGCCCCATTTGTTCACCTGATTACAGAACCAGCACTCAATGCAYGCTGACTCAAAAAACAGGTGGTGTGCAGCAAAGAGAGTAAATAAGGAAAGAAAATCTGGAGCACACACTGAGGGGGAAAAATTTGTTACATGGCCTCTTTGTGGACATCTGAATGTTTGCCCTGAAACAAACATATGAGGAGAGACAACTAACACTCAAAACAGATACACATGTCAGTTTGGGGAAACCAGCTGGATGTAGAACCATCAGACAAAAAAAAACACAAACATAGTAGGGCACTGTTAATCCAGTTTGGGTTCACAGTCAAACTGGCACTGTGGAGAGAGAAGAGGTCTGAAACCAGTAAAGCCGGTCAAAGAGACACACAGTCGCTGAGTGTGGTGGATGGCGCAGCAGGCGTCTGGTGCTGTGACTCAGGGATTACAAGCTGGGAATGACTAGGGATGAGACAAAGTGCACGCACAAGGGACCCAGCATATCCCACATCAAGGAGTTGTGAGAAAAATTCATGTGGCTAACAGAAAGAAAATGGAAACAGAAAAAGAAAGAGAAAGGAGGGGGAGGAACACTGAAAAAGAATTGTATAAGTGGGTGGCTTAAAGGACCAAAAAGTTATCAAAAAAAGTGCTTAATTTCTAAAGCCAAATAATATGATTTTATGTGTTTTATGATGTTGGCTTTTTTATGGAATGGTAAAATAAGGAGCTGTGGAAAAGCAGTTGCTAGGAGATTTTGATGACTATTATTTTAGACCCTTTACTGCCTGCCAATCGGCCACACCTTGATAGTTCCTCGGTCCCTGCTAACCCCCTTTCACCATATGTTTATTATTTAGCAGACTGTTGTATCTGGTGCTAACACGCCTTGTTTTATGACTAAGCTTTATAGGCAGAGATTAAGGCGTGTAGTCACCAGAGAAGCATGGAGTAAAGACCCACACAAGGTTATGAGTTTATGTTTATACAGGCAACATGACAGATGACGAGCTTGGGTAAAGAGTAATGAACAAGGTGACTAAATGAGGGGATAATGTATTTCATGTAACAAAGTAGCATAATGTACAGAGCAAGATAGAATAAGACATGGACATTGACTARACTGATAGATCTCCACTGAGTTGTTGACCAGCACAGAGAGACCCATTGATGAAGATGATATTTTGCCCTGTAGGTCCAGACATGGACTGGTCAAAGGCTTTCTTATACCATGTGGATGATGTAACGAACTGGTCTGGACTGACCGATCAAATTTTGATWTTGCATACCAGACTGCCCTCTGTTTCACATGAAGAAGTGAATAGTTTGCACTGTTTGGCCTGATTCATTGACATGCCACATTAAAAAAAGGGCCCGGATCACCCAAACAGTGTTTGCACAGCTGCCAGCTCACCACGCACACTCAAACATCACCACATATTACGCTGTGCTACTGAACTAGTGCTGACACAAACGTACCACGAATGAAAACTGAAGCTAACTCTGTTCTTTCACAAGCTTTTCTTCTATACAAAAGCTCTGATGAGGGAGCCTCTGTGGAATAAGAAAATCCAAGTGCTAAAGTCATCCATGTTGCAGTCTGTATGTGCTTGTAGTCCATGTAGTAAATGTGACGACAACATAAAAGGCCTCTTTGCAAGAGCATCACAACTGCAGCATTTTAATCAGATAAAAGTTAGCCCCCCCTGCAAGCTCTCTCTGTTCTTCTATGCGTGCCACCCAGCAGGGCATGTTCACTAACATTCCTGTCAGTCAMTGAACCCCAACTTTCATGCTTTACCAAACCAAGCAGGAATGYGAAAGAGGGACAACTCACTCTTAAAAAGTAACATGTCCTGTAAATGACTGACAAGGTTTAATTTGGGTCAAGGATTAAAAATTTGCCAGTGTATGAAACTGTGCTGCAAYATTCCCTGTTAAGTTACATCATCTGCGCTATCGTTTAACCCTATCTCTTGAAAGCTAAGTCTTGTTATGGCTACACAATGCTGTTTTCCACCATGGCCTGGTTCATCATGAAACAACCGGGCTGTGCCTGGCTGTAACACAGAACAGAGGACTGATAGCTCGAGGAAACATTAGAAACTCTATTTGGCTGCACCTCTGACACTGACATGGGAGTTTAGGAAGAAATCACCTCAGCTGGAGAGTGAGGACAGGCCTGAGAAAGCTGACACTGGCTGCACTTCCGTCAAAAAAAGAAAACAAACAGCACAGTAAGGTGGGCTTGAACAACGCTTCAGTTTTGTTAGYGGGATACACACGCAAGTACAGTAGGCTGTGTGGATACTGATGTTATGAGAGAGAAAAAATGACAGCTGTTCTTCTCACAGTGCCAATAAAAGCTTAGGAACAGTTGCAGTTTAGTGCATTAAAAAAAGAAAAGAATCGAGCGCTTGTGWAGTTGAAAGCAAAAAAGTTTGTTACACACACCTTCAACTATGTTATGTCTCATTAGGATTAGAAACAACCTTGAGCACTGGTAGGACCTTAATCTTGTAAGCATATTAAGGCGTAAACACAACAATGCAAGTGTGTATCTAAGAGAGAGTTGAAGAAACGTTTCTGTAGGCTTTTGAACTCCTCCTTGGCAGGCCTATGTGACCCGAGTGCACTCAGGCGAGCGCAAGTAGAACCATGCATTGCGAAATGGTTTTGCAAGATACATCTCTGCACTCTGGCAATGCACAACTGCAGCTGTCAGCACATTGTGCGTGTGTACGTATATAAAGCTATGCTCTGCAGGTACTGACAGCAGGAGAGATGCTGGTTCATGTGGTGAATCACACACCCCTCCCCTCCTTTTAGTGGGTCAACTCTGGCAATTAGTGTCAGATTTCCATGCATCGGTGCAGCTTGCTGATCTGCTAACAGGCTCAAAAGCCACCTGAGCTGCAAAAGGCACAGGGGGATTAGTTAGTATAGAAGCTGAATAATGGAAATCAGACCCAAAAAAAGTGCCATCATGTGTGACAAAACTTTGCTTAAAAAATGAGAAGTGAAACCAGAGATAGTTTAAACCCCTTCGCTGAGTCCTAATCTTCCCCGTCACCCTCTTGTATTCTCATCCCCCACCCCACATCCCATGGAGCAAACTCCCAGTATGGGGACTCATCATCTCCAAATGCTTCCTCTTCCCTTTGGAGAGCCAGTTCGATGAGGAAGAGGAGGAGGACAACGCAAAGGGAGGGGAGATGAAAGAAGAAAGGGAACGCCGCCTGTCTCTCATGTTGACCCAGCAGAAAGCCGTGGCTTGACCCTTTATGACACAGAGGTCAAAGATGGGCGAGAGACCYCCAGAGTGACCAACAAATCAATAAAGCACAAACGAGTCATTTTTAAAATGTTAAATCATAAACTTATCTAAACTTTCCCCATTTGGCAACAAGCCATCTTATAGCATCAACTCTCTGATGGATGTCAATAAAATGAATAAAAAGTTCCTTTTATGTTGGGAAACTTTCAAACACGTCATACAGTTTACAACCTGGTGCWTTCAGTGATGAAGCCTGATACACACACAGTCTGTTGCATTAGGAGCCCCCAGGCTGACAACATTTTTTCTTCTTGCGTGTTGTCCAATATTGTGTAACCATTTCTTGACGCGTTCAGGACGCTTTGTCCCACTCTGCCTCAGCATCAGCACTCTGTGGTGGTCACCGTGGATGTAAGCTGTCAGCAGCCGGCTGTGTGTGTTACAGGGRACCGTTCAGGAGTGATGTTAGGCTCGTGTTAACTGTCAGAGGAGTTGAGTTACTCACCGTCCATCTTCTCCGCCTTTATGATGGTCAACGTCGGCTTCATATCGACAGCTGCCGTCATGATCATCTGATCACAGACTTTAATATCGCCGCGTCCTTTTTCGCCTTTTTTTTTCTTTCTTTCTCCCCCTTCTTTATATTCTAAGAGCTCCAAAAACAACTCAAGACAAGTGAGAAAGAAGGAAAAGAAATCTTCACCTCCGTTTGCGTCCTGGTTAATTCGGAGCGATTTTTTTTTTCTTATTCTCTAGGCTTAAAATAAAAAAAAACTCGCTGAAATAATAATAATTTTAAAAATCGCCTCCTAACTTGTGCTTCTCTTTTCCTCTCCGCGACACACACTCCCTCTTTTCCTCGTTCTTTCTCACACACTCACACACTCTCTCTGCCTATGGGCGTTGCGTTTGCGAAGAGCCGGAGCGCTACGAGTGCAGAGGGGGGCGGGGTCTGTGTGAGGGCTGATTCATACAATTCAATTACGCTGCTGCCCCCCACCACCACCCCCCGCTCCGCTCCCTCCTCAATCCCACCCTTACACACACACACAGAGAGAGACACACACTCCTCCCCCCTGTGAGAACATGCTTGTCAAGACCCCTGAACGTCATCAGACCAAGTTATTACTCGTTCCCGAAAACTGATCTGTGTTGTTTAACATGAGGAATAAGAAAAAAAAGCAATACAATAAAATGAAAATAAAATAAAAAATATAACGGTGAGTCTATTCATAGTTTGACATTAATAAAAAAAATATGACAGGTTTAGTCAATTACCATGTACTTTTAAATGGCAACTAACTGACCTGGCATTCCTTGAGGAATTCATCAAGTCTAAGATCCTCATGTTATTATAGCTATTTTCCCTGAAAATGAACATCCACCATCTGAAGTGCTCAGAATAGGTTTTGGGAATGACTCTCAGCTTTAAAGGAAACATGTCATGCTTTTAAAGCTGTCTTTTTTTTTTTCACATTAAGGCCTAAATAATTCATCCGGGGTCTACGTAAAGCGGAACTGTAATGAATTAATATGAACTCCTCCCTATTKTAACTATACCAGCCCCCATTTCATCACTTTTCTAAGGTGTGTCTCAAAGCAGCTCATTTTGGGTCTGGTTCTTTAAATCCAAACAAGGCTTCTTCTAGCTTCCAGAGCGGTCCATTGTATCTTGATGGAGGGGTTTGCAATTATACAGTGGCGCACAATTATGTTGTTTACAATTTGATTAAAAGATGTCAACATTGGAAAATGTTTCCATCCAGCCTTACATGTTGGAGCCAGAGTCTGACCCAGAGCCAGAGGAGAATGACCAAATTCTAGCCCATAGTTGATAAGACCAGACATTTTTCAGCAGTTCCATCACAAAACATTTGAAGTAATAGTTCAGAAAATGTCATAGAAATTTAAAAACACGATCCAAACAGAAAATAAAGATATCTATGCAGCACCCGGAGAGACTAAATTAAACTTYTCTGCTCTTCTAGAGACTCTAAGTWGCACAACAAAATGCATGGCTAAAATTAACATCTAAAAAAGACAAAAAGTGCATTTTTCACATGTCCTCTTTAAGTGCTCAGAGTATGAGTTTGGGATGACTCTCAGCTACATCGATGTTCACTGCATTATCTGTAAATATGACTGGTTTATAGACCTTTTTGTGATGGCTGAAGTTGTTTAGCTGCGGTAGCCATCTTGAATTAGATTTATTCCAAACATTAATCTGTTGTAAATGCACGTGTAATGATTCCTGTTTGAATAGTTTAGTAAAATCAATCAAATGGCTTAGGAGACTTTTCTCTAATAGGTTCATTAAACATTTGTAGCAAAGCTCTTGTGTAATCTGTTAAAACTCAGAATATGAGCAGGKTATGATTATTAGCTACAAATACACCAAAGTTGAACTCAACAGATGTAAAACTAAGTGGCAATCTGTTTTTGAGTTTGCTAAGGTTCCTAGACAATGGCAGCCAACTTGATTTGGATGGACTCCAAAAGTTAATCAGCTGTAGATCGAGTGATTCCTGAGTGTTCCATTAAAATCCATCGAGCGGTTCTTAAGATATTTTGCCAACATGACAAACACGCATGCATTCACAAAAACAAACAAACAAGCAAAAAAWWTTTTTACCCATTTCTGATAAAAAATAATAAAGAMGACAACAATATAACTTGCTGGTTGATCGTTAGCCATGTTTTCATGAGTTAAAATACATTAAAAAACATTTAGCTACAAGAATGATGTGGCAGTAATACTGAGTGCCTGCACTATTAGAGTTTTGCAGACTCAGGCTTTCCTATAACATGAAGCTCACTATCATAAACACATCAGATTATTTCCTGTTCACCTCACACCCGTCAATAAAACCTGTCATGTCTGTTACCTCACACTGCTAAATAGTTGCTCAAAATGCAACTTTTGCAAACAGCTGCTATCATAACCTAAACTAGATACAGCAGAAATGCACCGGAACTCAGAAGTCTTTATTCCTACTAAATGTCATGCTACTAGGTGCATCCCAAAATTGTAGTGGTTTGAGTGGAGGTCTTTTTATTTTTTATTTTTATGGGGCATTGGTTGACCTGATGGATAGCCCCTCATCAGAGCTAAACAACCAATGGAAATCTGAAGCTCTTATGTTTAATAGTTCTTGAGCAATAACCATTTTGTATGTCCAGAKACCCCTTTTTCAGATAAATTGGTGGTCTGGGGGGTGGGGGGCACTGATTGGTGGGCCTGATGGATAGAGCTTCATCAGAGCCAAACAACATAAGAAATCTGAAGGTTTTATGTTGAACAGTTTCTGAGTCATAAGCATTTTTGCATGTCCAGACACACCCTCTTTGAAAGTAGGCCCCTCCTCAAATATGGGGTCTATCGTAAAACCATTGGCTGGTACAGTGTAGGTCAGACTCATCTACAGTCCTGCCAAATTTCATGTTGATCGGTGCAGCCGTTTTTGTGCTATGGTTGACCAAAAATCACTGAAAAAAAAGCACGAAAACAATATAACTCCTGCTTACGCTTCATAAGATATGGTGTGTAAACAGCACTGAATTGAAAAAAAAAATGTTGGGTCTAATGTTAAATGCAGCCTGGGTCACTACAATTATCAACAAAAGACTATTTTTAAAAGGCAAACTGGATGCTCTAATTCTAACATTGCCCCATTTTTTCATGGAGTTTTCTGTTTTCATATTGACAGTAATCAGGAAGAATGATCATGTCTTGCTGGTAAATTAAATCAAGACTTTGTTCCACTGGGGAAAAAAGAGACGAAGGAAAAGAAAGAACAAAGACATGAGAAAGACTGGGCACTCCAGCCACAGTAGGACTCTGGATAAGGCATCGCCATTAGGAATGTTTCCCATGGCAACAGAAAGAGTAATAACATATTTTAAATGCTGCTGCTTTGCACGAAAGCAAAAAATAAATAAATAAATAAATTAAAGGAACAGTATAGACAGGGGTCTATCCCAAGTTCATTACTAAAACAATGCAAATGGTTTTCCTTGTTTTTTTCACATATTGCCAACCATATTTTGAATTAGGATGCCTCATCATTATGATGCATCACATCTGCATGTATCTCTAAATGGGATGATCTGGAAAAAAGGCCGGGGAGCCAGGGATATTGATCACACATGGATTTTTAAACCGGTGGTACTTCACTGGCTCCATTAGCAGCCCTGTATCAAGTTTCTTTGGCCTGATAGGAGGCTCATCTGAGAGGAGGGCGAGTGGGTTCTGCGGTGAGAAGAGCTACCTCACCGGAGGCAGGGGGGATGGAGGGAAAGAATGGAATAGAACCTCTCAATTCATCTCAGCCAGTTGGCCCATCGGTCTCTCACTCCTTCTGACTGAACCTCTTTGTTTTCTGTTAATGAACTCCCTTATATCTGTTCTTAAAAGGACAGCCTGGGTCTTTTAGCGCCTGAGGGCAGCCATTCTGGGTTTAATGGTTGCGCTGACTAATATCTATCCTGGCGTCACTGAAGCCCATTTCACTTTGGGTAATCTTCTGTTTTTACTTTTTTATATTAGCTTTTAGTGCAATTAAAAGTCCATTTTGCCCCTATTTTCTTTTCCCTTCTCTCGACAGAGAAATTATTAGTCATCTTACAGTCATTGCAGTCATCCAACATGTGTACTGCTTGTGTCAGATGAAAGAAGTTTGGTTTCAGTGTCTCCCGTCTTCACCTGGCAAATGCTGTTTCCATGGTTTTGACAGTTAGAAGGCTTTACTCATTTATGTTGCAGAGCATCAGCACCCAGCGAAAGCAGCTTTCTCTCTGTCTCTGTCTCTAACTGGCACATCTGCGTCGCCTGCCTGTCTATAATCCTCAGAAGTAACCGTTGCACCTGCTACTTTTCACCGAGTTAACGGAAAGGTTATTCAATTTGGAGCAATCCATACAGCTGTCAAGAGAAATTTGTGTTTCGTGTTGGCGCCCTCCCAGCAGGCTGTGAGAGTTAGATCATACTGAGAAGTTTTGACTTTTTCTCCTGTTTTTTTTTTCTCTCATGACCATAAAATGTTAAATGGGGCTGAACTGTAACAATAAAGTATGACGTGATGGGTTTGGTATGTCGCTTGAACGGACGGCGTTTAGCATGTCATCAATCAGTCACTCATTTACAGGCACTCAGGCACACACACAGAAGGGTGATGGAGACAAACACACACACACGAGGGAGCAGACAGTCAAACAGTAAAACAGTGGGGTCCTTGTGGCCACTGTCTGGCAGCTCAGTTGCAGCTCTATCTGCAGTGGTTGCCGTTTGAAGGTGCCACAGGCTGAATGCACTCCTGCTGAGATCAGACGTTTAGTTGGGACAGGGTCCCCACATATCTGTGTGTGCGCGCTTCTGAATGTACTATGCATATCTTCCTTGTGCCTCACATTCCAAAGTGTCTTCACAGAGCATGCGTGTATGTGTGTGTGTGTGTGTGTGTGTGTGTGTGTGTGTGTGTGTGTGTGTGTGTGTGTGT